AACAGGACCCAATCATAAATCTTGCAAGCTGGATTATTTAGGTACTTAAATATGCATCCATATTTTACATTTATATACTAGAAATACATTTATGTACTAGAAATACAGCTCTAAATTAAACTATAAATATGTATTTAAAACAGGAAAAATACAAATTGGAATGTGAAGCGAACAATAATGCATGCATTTTTGAAGACCTCTTTTATTGCAACACAGAAAAACCTCAAAAACACTAAGCTATGTAAAAGATACCAAACACAAAAGAACACTTATTGTATGATTTCATTTATGTGAGATGTCCAGAAAAGATATATGGAACAGAGAACATGGATAATGGTTGCCTTTGCTATAGCTGGGAAGAGGGATTAACTGTAAATAGACATGAAGAATTGGGCGAGTGATAGAAATGCTCAAAAAGTGGATTGCTGTGACACTGCACAAATGGATAATGTTAATAAAAATCACTGCAGTGTACCTCTTTAATGAGTGAATTTTGTATGTAGACTGTATCTTGATAAAGTTGCTTTTTGAAAAACAAAGGTAAAATCAAAACATTTACAGGCACAGAAGATCAGAAATGATTCATTACCAGCTGACCTATACTACAATAAATGTCAAAGGAGCCCTTCAGGAAGACAAAATAATACCAGATGGAAATATGTATCTATAAAAAGGAACAAACAGTACCAGAAATAGTAACTAGAACAGTATATATGTAACATGTGTTTTTTATTGTTTATTTATTTTTATTTTTTTGAAAGGCAGAGACAGATAGATCTTCTAACCACTGGTTCGTTCCCCAAATGCCCACAATGGCTGAGGTTGGGCCAGCCTGAAGTCAAGAGCCAGGAACTCACTCTGGGTTTCCTATCTGGGTGGCAGGGACCCAATTAATAAGAGCCATCACCTGCTGCCTTCCAGAGAGTGCATTAGCAGGAAGCTAGATTTGGAAATGGAGCAAGGACTCAATCCTAGATACTCTGATACAAGATGTATATAAGGTGCATCCCAAGTACCTTAACTGTGCACCAAACACCCACCCTTTTTAAAAATTATTTAAATCTTTTAAAAACATAATCAATTGTTCAAACAAAGTAATAGCAGCATAGTGTGAGGTTTAAAAAAAATGAAATGCATGACAACAGCATAAAGGCTGGGAGAGAAGAAATGAAAGAATGCTTTAATAAGGTACTTTATGTAAAGAGCTGTACCACTTGAAGGTAGGTTAGGAGAAGTTAAAGATGTATGCTATAAACTGTAAAGCAACCATTAAAATAACAAACAGAAGGAAAAGGTAGTATAAGTCAAACAGAAGATTAAAAAAGAGCTAATTCAAAAGAAGATAGAAAAAGGAAACAGGAATGGAGAACAGATAGGACAGATAAAGAACAAATGGCAAACAATATACTTAACTGTACCAAGTATTACATTAAATACAAATGGTCAAAACACTCCAATTAAAAGGCAGAGATTTTCAGATTGAATAAAATACCCAAATATACACTTCTCACAAGAAAAACATTTTAAATATAAAGAAACAAGAAGGTTAAAAGTAAAAGAACAGGGCAGACTTTCTAGTCTAGCCGCTAAGGTGACATTTAAGATGTCTGTATCCACATCAGAGCATCTAGGTTTGATTCCCAGCTCCAGCTTCTGATTCCAGATTCCTGTTAATACAGACTCTGGAAGGCAGCAATGATGGCTCCAGTAACAGCAGACTTGCCACCCGAATGGGAGATCTGGATTGTTTCTGATCCAGCTTTGGCCCAGCCCAGTCCTGGCCATGGCAGGTATTTGGGAAATTAACTGTTCACTTGCTTGCTCTGTCAAAATAATTTTTTAAAGATTTATTTGTTTATTTGAAAGTCAGAGTTACTCAGAGAGAGGAAAGGCAGAGAGAGAGGTCTTCCATCCGCTGGTTCACTTCCCAATTGGCCTCAATGGTCAGAGCTGTTCTGATCAGAACCCAGGAGCCAGGAGCTTCTTGTGGGTCTCCCATGCAGGTACAGGGGCCCAAGGACTTGGGCCATCTTCTACTGCTTTCCCATGCCATAGCAGAGAGCTGGACTGGAAGTGGAGTATCCGGGACTCAAACCAGCGACCATAGAGGATGCTGGCACTGTAGGCAGCAGCTTTACCTGCTATTCCACAGCTCCAGCCCCAAAATAAATTAACTTAAAACAGTTTGTTTTCCCATGTGGGAGACCAGCATGGAGTTCCAGGCTCCCGGTTTCAGCTTGGCCAGCCATTGACATTGGGGAGTGAACGAGCAGATGCAAGATATCTTTCTATCTCTGTCTTTCTGTAACTCTGCCTTTTAAATAAATAACTAAATCTTTTAAAAATAATTAAAAAAAATAAAAGGACAAAGAAAGACATACCACGCTAACACAAATCAAAGAAAGGTTAGCCAACATGTAACTATGAGGAAATTTTAAAAAATCTGCCAAACAATATCACCAGGGATAAGCAAGTTATTTCATAATGATAAAAATGGACAATTCATCAGAGAACATAATAATTTTAAACTGTTCATGTACTTTATTACAGATCTGAAAAATAAATGAGACAAAAATGGATACTGGGCAAATGTTGTAGCATGGTGGGTTAAACTACTGCTTGCAACACCAGCAGCTCTTATTAAAGTGCCCATTTGAATCCTGGCTGCTCCACTTCTGATCCAGCTCCCTGCCATGTGCCTGGGACAGCAGTAGAGGATGCCCCAAGCGCTTGAGCCCCTACCATCCACATAGGAGACAAGAATGGAATTTTAGGCTCCTAGCTTGGGTCTGTACCAGCCCTACGTGCTGTGGCCACCTGCAGAGTAAACCAGTGAATGGAAGATACTCTCTCTCCTCCTCTCCTCCTTTGCCACTTTGCCTTTCAAATAAATAAACTAATTTCAAAAAATTTCAGAAATACAAAGAAAAATAAACAAATCCACAATCACAGTCATACTTCTCTTAATAACTGAAAGAACAGAAAAGCAAGAACAAGCATTCAACAGAAGAGTTGAATGCTACCAACTTGCTTTAATTAACATTTATGGAGCATTATGACATAATAGAACACTTAGTGCACATGTAGCACTGGTAAGACAGACCACCACATTTTGGGCCATAAAACAAATCTGAATATATTTTAAAGAATTTAAGTTGCAGAAAGCATGTTCTCTGACAGTGTGGAATTAACTCTGAAATCTAATAACTGAAAATTAAGTAGCATACTTCTAGAATAATCAAATCATGGGTATCAAAGGTGAAATAATCAAATCATGGGGGTCAAAGATGAAATCAAAAGTGAAATGAGAAAACCATTTAAATGGAGTGAAAATAAAAACATGATGTAAGGGGCCGGTGCTGTGGGTAAAGCAACTGCCTGCAGTGCCGGCATCCCATATGCAAGCCAGTTTGAGTCCTGGCTACTCCACTTTCGATCCAACTCTTTGCCTCAGCTTGGGAAAGCAGTAGAAGATGGCCCAAGTCTGTGCGTGGGAAACCAGGAAGAAGTTCCTGGTTCCTGGCTTTGGGTCAGGCAAGCTCTGGCCATTGTGGCCATTTGGGGAGTGAATCAGTGGATGGAAGACTTCTCTCTCTTTCTCTGCCTCTCTCTAACTCTGCCTTACAAATAAATAAATAAATCTTTTTAAAAAACCTACAACGTATCAAAATTAATGGTGGAAGTGACATTGTGGTGCAGCAGGTTAAGCCACTACCTGGGATGCTGGCATCCCATACTGGAGCACCAAAATTCAAGTCCCAGCTGCTCTGCTTTGTATGCCATTCCCTGCTAATGTGCCTGGGAAGGCAGCAAAAGACAGACCACATGTTTGAACCCATGGATTGTGTTCCATGCGCCTGACTTTGTGGTCATTTGGGGAGTGTACCAGCAGATGGAAGATCTCTATCTCTACCTCTCTCCCAACCTCTCTCTGTCACTCTGTCTCTCAAATAAACACAATAAATCTTAAAAAAAAAAAATGATGGGATAGAACTAACATAACATTTAGTGGTGATTTATAGGACTAAATACCTAAGATGCGCTCAAATCAATGACCTTGGTTTCCACATTAAGAAACTAGAAAAAGAGCAAATTAAACTCAAAGTAAAAGATAAAAGGAAATAGATTAATCAATGAAATAGAGAAGAGAAAAACCATAAGAATCTTTTGAGATCAATAACACACTTCAAAACCAACTATTTTAAACTATGTTCAATGACAGTATTTATTTATCCTGTGTCTCTAAATTGGAAGGAGTTGCAAGAAGTATTTGATACAAGCTCAGGTTACAGTCCCACTGTGTAATCTTTCTGCCTCAGAAAAAGTAAAAGATATACCCATCCTTGGATAAACCAAACATGCTTGCATATGTTTAATTATAAAACTAGGAAGCTACAGAGACTGGGATGGAAAGAAGGAGGGTCTCTCTCGCTCAGAAGCAATCTGTCCAAATGACTGAGGGCTTACTATGGGCCAGGCATTTTTACTGCCTGATACATTTAGGAACCTCCACTGCTATTTTTGAAGAGAAAACCACCTTCTATAAACATATCATAGACGAACATATAATAGACACTTCCCTGAGTGTCCAGATCTGCACAAGTAAGTAAACTAGTTACTCACTGCATAGTGGTTAATTTTAAAACACGGGTTCAGGAGGCAAACCACTTGAGTTCTAATTCTGATTATGTTATTCAGTGTCTCTACATCACCCTGGGGAAACTGCTTAGCCTTGTGGATTTTGATTGTGAGTATTAAATTGACACATTCATGTAAAGTTACAACCAGGATCCTCCTTTCCTTCTAGTTTGATGAAGAATATCAGTAACTAAGAAAATTCTATAAAAATGCTTAATGGCATATAATGGAAAGCACACTTCAAGTCTTCCTATAAAGGTATATGCTTATATATTTCAGGGGAGGGCCATTGCTTATGAAATATAAAAATACCTAAGTAGGATAAAAGATATTTTTGAGAGTGAATATACTTTTATACCCACCTTGATATTCCAGAGACACTGCAGACTTCCAAATTCCAAAATCAGCTATCAGTATGAAACACAATCTCTAAGACCTCTTATTACTGAATAGTTGAAAATTCTGCCAAGCATTGGACCTTAATTGTTGCAGAATGTTTTAACTTGATAAAATCCTAGAGCTTTAATTTCTAAAGGATGGACCTAAAGTCCAGCTAATTGACTTTCAAAAATGTCAACCACTTTAATAACCTACCACCCTATTATGGACCAAACAATTACTGTTCCACTGATTCTCACTGGTCACTAAACGTTTAACAGACGTATGGAAACATCTAGGTCACATTCCAATAGTCACTCAACAATTATATGACCTAACCAAAGGACTGAATCACGTAGAATCTCAACTTCCAGCTCTGTAGAGACACCTACGCTCTGAGACAAGAGAATTAAAGAATAGAGTGAATGGAATATCCCTTTTATGCTCACTAGCACACGGTGCTTCTCAATTCATATTAATTCCCTTACTTTATATGAAAGGCTGAAAGAAATTAGGAACAATTTAAGACTTTTGGCAGCATGGTCTAATCACACCTTTTGATATTTTTGACAGAAGTTATGGATAGGTCAAACTGTGAAATCGGAACATAAATGCTCATTTTTAACCAATATCGAATTTTTAGTGTTCTTTCACAAACTTTACTTCAAAACCACTAACGAGAATTAGAATAGGGTGGGACTCGTCCAACATAAGAATGATACAACTTTTGGAGTGAATGTCCACTTCAAAGAAAATACTATAAAGTAGGTATCATTAGTTAACTATTACTTTCTGGAAACAGCTGCAAAAAAAAGCTAAATCTACTCAATTCTAACTGACTCAACATGTTGGCATCCAAAGGATGAGACAAAACCATTATATTCAACAGATTGATGCTATTATTGTTTGGAAATAATATTCTACAACCAACTTATTATGGGCCTACATGTAGGGATAGTTTTCCTCAACATTAAACATATAGGTGCAAAGCAATTTTCTTAAGGGCAGATCTTTAAAAATGTTTATTTTCATCTACTGAAAGGCAGAGTGAGAGTGAGAGAGAGACACACAGATAGTGAGTCTTATCTACTTGCTCACTCGTCAAATGCCCACAACAGCAAGGGCCGGGCCAGCCTGAAGTTAGGAACCCGGAACTCCATCCAGTTCTCCCACATGGGTGACAGGGGCCCAAGCACTTACTGCCTCCCAAGATGTCTTAGCAGAAAGGTGGATCAGAAGCACAGTAGTCTGGGTCTAAACCAGCACTCTGATGCAGGATGTGGGCCACACAAGGAGCCACCTGAACTGCTGAGCTGCAACACCCCACCCCACCCCCCACCCCCCACCCCCACCCCCGCCAAGGGTAGGCATTTTAATTTAAAAACTGACCCTTGGGGCTGGCATGGTGCTGTGGTATAGCCAGTAAAGCTGCCACCTGCAGTGCTGGCATCCCACATGGGCGCCGGTTCTAGTCCGGGCTGCTCCACTTCTGATCCAGCTCTCTGCTATGGCCTGGGAAAGCAGTGGGAGATGGCCCAAGTCCTTGGGTCCCTGCACCAACGTGGGGGACCTGGAAGAAGCTCCTGGCTCCTGGCTTCGGATCAGCAGAGCTCCAGCCATTTGGGGAGTGAACCAGCAAATGGAAGACTTCTCTCTCTGCCTCTGTTTCTCTGTAACTCTGCCTTTTAAATAAATAAATAAATCTAAAAAAAAAAACAAAACAAAAAAACAAAAAAAAAAAAAACAAAAACCATAGGGGGTGGCTGTTAGCACAGATTTAAGACACCACTTGGAATGCCTGCCTGGGTTGCAGTCTGATCTACATTACCAATCTCAGCTTCTTAATTATATATGTGACCCGGGAGGCAGCAGGAGATGGCTCAAGTAGTTGGATCCCTGCCACCCATGTGGAAAACGTGGACGGAGTTCTCAGCTCGCAGCTTCCACCTGGCCCAGCCAGGGCTCCTGTGAGCATCTGGAGTGGACCAGCAGGTGGGAGATGTCTGTCTCTGTCTCTCGGTCTTCCAAATAAAAACAACAAAACACCTACCCTTAAATCTTCTCAGCCAAAGTATTCTCCATCTACAGAGCTCGTGTCTTAACCAAGCAGCTGGCTGAGAGTCACGCAAATCCGTCCTGAGATGCTGCTTCTGCCACTTCCAGGGAAAGCGGGTGGTACACTGCTTTTCACTCAACAACTAGTACCTATCTCATCCGGTTCTTCTGTCAAAGAATACTAATGGTGATGTTTCTGCAGAATAAGAACTAGGACTACATCATCCCAGGGTACTTCCAAGAGATCGCTTTTACAGGCACCATTTACCACTGGGTCCTAGGTTTTCATAAAAAAAATTGATACAAAAAGCAGATGTATACACAGCAACAGGGAGGGGGGGACTGACATGAAACAGCCGCATACCCAAAGCTTATGAACAATGTACACAAGACAGAGCAATCTGGGCACAAATGTTCACACACACACACACACACACACACACACAAATAGTAGCTCTGAATGTTCCGATGACAACCAATTTCCTTCGATCTAAAGACAACCCTTTTTTAAGCAGCAAGTCAGGGAATCAGGTGAGAACTGGGTGCTAAAAACCAACCAGGGAAATGGGAATCACGAAAATAAAACAAGACCCTGGAAGCTGAAGCTCTAAGATACACCAGCCTCCACAATGAACGGCCAAGAAAATCAGAGTCGAGCTCTGTGTCGCCCCCACTCACTCGTCCTGCCTTAAAGCAGCGTTCTGTACCGGTCGCTGGATTCAGACTCGAAATAAATGAACTTTAAAAAGGGTCAAGTGCCAGCAAAAATCAGCAGCGGGCGATCTTGCCTGCTCTCGGGCCAGGGAAGACACGCCTCCCTTCCCCCACCCCCAGCCGCCGGCTCGTCGGGTCCCAGGCGTTTCTTCCCGCGCTGTTTGGACAAAACAACAATCTGGAAGGCACAGATTTGTCTTCCACCAGACATTAACAAAAGCAGACAGGGCCTCACGCGCACCTCGAGACGACCCCCACCCCCCGAGTTCGGCTCTCGCAGTTCGAAGAAAACGCCTCTCTGAACATTCCGTCACAGAACGCTGAGGAGCCGCCCGGCGACCGCGGAACCAGGAAGCTCTCGGGGCCCGCGGGGCCCGCAGCCTCTGCCCGGGCAGCGGCCGCGCCGCTCGCCCCCGAGGACGCCCGGAGGCCGCGCCGCGGGCGTGAACAAAGCCACAGGGGGCCCCGCGGCCGCCGACCCCCGCAGGCCCGCCTCCGCCCGCGCCCGCCCGGTACTCACACACGCACAGCTCCACCACGTACGCGTAGTAGGACCAGGCGACCACGAAGGTGATGAACAGCACCGGCACCCAGCCCACGATGCGCTGGCAGCAGCGCCAGAACGTCAGGGGCGCCATGTTCCGCCGGCCACGGTGCAGCTCAGAGCCCGACGGCTGCGGGGAGCGCCAGTCCTCCAGCGGCGGCTCCTCGGGCGCTCCCGGCGGCTCCCCCGCCAGCTCCTCGGTCTCCGAGGCAGAGTCCGTAGGAGCGAAAGTGTGAGTCGCCGGCGCGACTCCTCCCCTCGTGGCGCTCGGCCCGGTCCCGCCCCCACCCCTCATCCCGCACCCCCCTCCCCGGCGCCCACCCCGCCCCCGCCCCTCCCGCTGCGGGCCGCGGCTGCTGGTCGCCTCGCCGTCGGGGGCGGGGCCTCCGCGGCCAAAGGAGGCGGGGCCCGAGGAATTGGGGCGTGGCCTAGGCTTCGTGGACGCCCAAGGGGCGTGGCGGAGGTGGGTGGGGACCGGCCCCGGGTGGGAAAGGGAGGAGAGACTGGAGGGAGAGTGGGTGGGAGGTGGTCGTGGCGTTGTGGGGGTGGGGGTCTCACCGAGCTGAAAACACCCCCGGGGTGGAGGACATCGGTTAGCAGTGGCTTTTGTGAATCGAGTTTCAGGGTGGGGAGGCGACTGCTGGAATTGGTCTTTTAGCTGTGGGCTATGGGCCTTGTCCTGAGTTCAGAACTTCCTCCTGGGGTGGTCCGTGGGAGTTGGGCGTGTGTTCAGCTGTGACACAGCCGTGTGAGTGCGGGACGCAGGCGGGGAATGTATTCTGTTCTATAAGCCGCTCCCTGAGATTCGGGCGCACATCCCTGGTGAAGAACCCTTGTGCTGTGAGACAATTTGATCCGGGTTTCAGGAGGAAACCCTTCGGTGTTTTTGAAGATTCAAACCCGTAGGTGCTTGTGTTTTTAGGATGGAAGCCATCTGGATTCCGTCAGTTTCATTTGGAGCCCAAAGTGAGATTGAGTTGTGAGAAGGGGAGCGTGTACCTTGCTCCCTAAATGACTACTGAAATTTCAAGAATTTATTTACAACCGGAGATTGCTAAGCAATGCCTGTGATCATAACAGAACCTAGCGACGGCACCGTGAAGACGTCATAACCCAAGGTCAAAAGCTCTGGAAGAAATTCCAGACAGCGCTCTTAATACCAGTTCCTCTTACCGGCTTGTCAGTTTTGGTTAGACTGAGATTTTAATGAGCAGTAGACTGCACACTGGAATCTCCATGAAGATACCTCCTGCCCCTTTTACAGTGTGATACAAAGGGAATAAAAGCAAGTAATCATTATTTAACCTCCGCAATTCCTGCTTAAAGGGATAAAGCCTATGTAAAATATTCTGTTCTTCCTGATTTTATGCCTTACAGTCACGTTGATGGCAAAGTTGACACTGGGTTCTTACAGAGCATTAAAGGGAATCAAAATAGGCTGTTTAGGGGGGCTGTGCTTCAGGATTGATTCCTGGACTGATGTGGAAGAACACAAAGTTCTTTCTGCTGCCAGCGCTACCTATCAAAACCGTGCTACAAAGCCCGGCCCAGATGCTGTGTTCTGCACAGGCTCTGTGTCAGCTGGAAATGATTTCTTTTTTGTTATGTCATTTTGTTTATAACACTAGCTATAAAACTAATGATAACATTAGTTTCCCAGGGCTGCTGTAACAAAATAGCACAAACAGAGGCTTAAAAACAACAGAAATTCATCTGGTAGCTCTGGAGGCTTCAAATCCCTAAATCTATAGGGGCGAATTCTTCCTGCTTCCTAGCTTTTCTTGCTATCATCAGTGGTTGGGGGCCCTTGGCTTGGAGGTGCGTCAGCCCCACCTCTGCCTCCACTGTCGCCTGGTGTTCCCTCCTGTCTGTACATCTCATGCTGGATTAAGGGTCTGCTCTACTCCAGTCTGACCGCACCTGGAACAATGACAGCCATGGAAACTGTTTCCAAATAAGGTCACATTCTGAATTACTGGGGTTTAGGGCTTCAGCCTATCTTTTTTGGGGGGACACAGTTCAACACGATTTCGACACAAGCTGAAATGTTTCACCTTACCTACTACTTCTTTAAAGCTGGACATATTGTATATGCTTTCTGCTTTCCCTCAAAGTACCTTGAAAATAGGAAATGTTTAGTATCTGTTAATGGACATTTGAAGGTTTTCATCATTATCTTCCATTCTTCCTGACTTTTGGAATCACCAACCAGATCCATTCTGACTGACTGCCATGTGTTCTAAGAAGGTGCTGACTGTTACATGGGACCTAGAAAGTATTCCTGACCTATTCCCTTGTCCTAAAGTCTTTGGGGTGAGCATTCATTTGTAGAAGGTAGTAATACATCATTCCTTTGGGAATGTGTCTGTCTTCTGGGACTATAGAGTTAATGCTCTTTTGCCTGTGAGCAGTGGGAGGCAGCATTCTTCCCTTTCCATGTTGAGCTGGTGAGTTCGCTCCATCTCTGCTGCAGATTGTGACAACCGGGAAATACTTAAAGCCTTTAGGAAGGGTAGTGAAGTGAGAAGAATTACATCGTACAATTCCTTGGTTATGGTGGGAAGAATGGGGACTGGTGGGAAGAAAGTCCGGCCGTAGGGAGATCCGTTCGGAAGCTGCCGTAGTTATCCAGGCAGAGTGGACAGTGGCCTGAACTAGAGTGGAGGCAGCAGAGAAATTGACAAGAAGGCTACTCAGGGCTTCAGACTGGCTTTGATACAGCGACTCTGCTCCCAAACATAGTAATGGAAGATTAAAATAGAAAGCCAAGAGGGTAAACACAGGCACAAACTTCGATCTCCAGCATCCATTCTCCCCACCCCCCAACAAGGTAGACAGAGAAATTGTGCTGGTCATACGCATGGCTTTTAATGGGAGTTGGAGGACATAATCAGCTCCTGACCCTGGAAGTCAACCAAGCTACCAGCTGGCTTGGGACAGGATCTATGATTCCCTCATTATAACCACCAGCCAGGAATCTCAAAGTACCATGTTAACTTCTAATTCTAGATGGGCAGTAGAGGCAGATATGAAATCATTAGGATGTATAGAAACCACGTATATGGAGATATAGAATGAGTGAAGAAGAAAAGTCACAAATTAAAAATCAAACTACACTTCAAAAACACACAAGAAATCTAACACCAACAAAGGATGCAAATAAAAACTAGCAGATTGCAATTTATGCAAAATAAAATTTATTATATGAAGGAATCTGATGAAGACTTTAAACAATATTTGACACACATGTACAATGAGGTAAATGAAGGAGTAACTTCCATCTAAAAAGAATATGAAATTTCAAAGCAAAATAACGGGCAAACATGGAAAAAGGACAGATTGTAAAAATGTCCATTTAGAATTCTTCAGAATAAGAAGGCACTGTTGTCGAGTTAGCAACTCAATAGACAGAAACGACTCCAGCCTGGGCACTACCACAGAGGGACTGGCGTGCATGCTTCCTGCTGCAGCGGGGATGAACCTTCCCGTGGTCCTTGGACTATGTCAACCCAGCCAAGGGAGGGTGGGGAGGAAGTTGGAAACACACACTAAGAGCATACAACCAAGTTCCCTATTTCTACCGATGCTGGTCAGGATGACCTTCCCCAAGATATGGCACGCTGGCATTTGAGGCAACAGCAGAAGCAGGCGGGCTTCTCTGCCTTTCTCCAGCCAAAGAATTCTCTGACCCTCCCCTGAAGTGACCCTAACACCCTCGTTCAAGAATTGCCCTCCTGGTACATGGAGCAAAGGAATTCTTCCTCGTGTTTCTTTCTTTCTTTTTTTTTTTAAAGACATGTATTTATTTGGAAGGCAGAGTTACATAGAGAGAGGGAGAAACAGAGAGAGAGAGAGAGAGAGAGAGAGAGAGAGAGAGAGAGAGAGACGTGTCTCCCATCCACTGGTTCACTCCCCACATGACCACAATGGGCACGGCAGGGCTGGGCCTGGCTGAACCTAAGAGCCCAGAGATTCTTCCAGGTCTCTCACGTGGGTGCAGGGGCCCAAGCACTTCCACCACTTTCCCAGGGGGCGTTGGCAGCGAGCTGGATCGGAAGCGGAACAGCCAGGACTAGAACAGGCACCCAGATGGGGTGCTCGTGTCACAGGCTTAACCTGCTGTGCCACAGTGCCCACTCCCTTCCTTGTGTCTTAAAGACACAGAGACATAAACAGACCTTGCTGAGATCCCCCAGTGTATGATTATTAGATTAAACCCTTCTGTCTTTTGAACATGCTTCAGTGTGATTGTCCGTAGGAACACACAGCTTTACTCTGACTCTTCATTTCAGAAGGCTCCTGTGTCACATCAATTTAATATAAAATATATGTGTATGTTTTTCTCTTATTAATCTTTGCCTATAGGTGACTCATCCATGAACTTTGTAATGAATGAGAAATCTTTTCTATACTACCAACAATCAAAATATTCTTTGAGGTCGGGCATTGTGGTGCAGCAGGTTGAGCCAGGGCTTGGGACGCCTGCATTCCATGTCAGAGTAATGCCCTGAAGCCCAGATCCTTTACTGCCAGTCTAGCTCCCTGCTGGTGAATCCTGGGAGGCAGCAGCTGATTGATCCAATAACTGGGCCCCGGTCTGCCTGCTGAGGGCATTTGGGGAGTGAACCAGCAGAGGGAAGATTTCTCTTTTTCTTTTCTTTTTTCTTGAGATTTTATTTTAAAAAATTTTTAATTACTTTTTAACAGGTTCAATATAGTTTGTAGATTGAATTCTAAGATATTCCCCTCCCTCTCCTTTTCTTTCTTTTTTTTTTTTTGTTTTTGAGAGAACTTATTTTGAATTTACATTACAATAAAAGGCCTAATATTTCACTTAATAAGAAGTTTAACAAGTAAAAAGCAAAAAACCCTAGTTAAGTGGGAATAAAGACAATGGCTATAAACAATAATTAAATGGAAAAATGACCATTTCATCCATACACAGTAAATTTTAAAGTAATGACAAGTCATTAAAACTGTAGTAGTATGATATTCTTTTTTAAAAAAATGTTTTCTTGTTTCTTTAAGGATATTTATTTTTTTATTTATTTGAAAGGCAAAGTTATAGAGAGGCAGAGAGAGAGAGAGAGAGAGAGGTCTTCCATCCGATGGTTCACTCTCCAGTTGGACACACAGCCAGAGCTGCGCCACTCTGAAGCCGGGAGCCAGGAGCTTCCTCTGGGTCTCCCACATGAGTGCAGGGACCCAAGGAGTTGGGCCATCTTCTACTGC